TTAGTATATACTATATATATATATATATATATATATATATATATATATATATATATATATATATATAATTACATATGAATTATTTTATATTCATTGTCAATTTAATTTTTTAAATTAACAGTCGATAAAAATTCACAATCAGAAATTGCGTCTGCCATTGGAAAATTTAATATTATAGAAATTCTTAATCTTTTCGTTTTAACAAAGCTGGAAAACATTTTAAAGTGTAAAAACGCAGACACGTATATAAATTTCATTAGCTCGGCAAAAGCCGAGTTCACATAGCATATTGTAAACTCTGTCATCGTACATTCTCTCGTTACGATTTATCCGCGATGAATCTGCATCGTACACAAAAAATGTACGTACCTCGACGTATATCAGGGAGAGCCGCGTGCACGCGTGTCAAGACATTAATGACGCGCGCGAACCAGTTTATTGACTATTATATCATCAGAGCCGTAATTCAATGCCGTCCTGCAAGTCTGGCTTGTGCAAGTGCGCGTACGTATGTGTGAATTCACTCACACGAGCGAGCACACGTCTTGTTCCCGGATGCTAGGCATAATTATTTACAAGAAGCTGCGCATGATTCTCAGAGGAGAGACTGTCGAAGTCATTGACAACGAATCGTTCGTGTGTGTGTATATATATATATTTCGAGAACTTGTGGCCAATCATTGGCGATTATCGGACACGATATCACATGCCAGATGTCGACAAACGAGAAAGTACTCGTGAACTCCGTGATTATAAAATTAATTACTTGACGCTTTAGACCGGATTTTACGATTATAGCGTCTGTGATTGAAAGCTTTATAAGTTTTATTAAGCGATCTTCTGTTGTGTATCAATGTGATAACTTCGTGGGAAGACTCTTGAGCGTTGTGTAGATAATAAAAGGAAATATTTTTAATATAATGAAATGTGATTATATATCGAGATTATATATCGAGAAGTTCTTTAAAAAAAAAACAATGCTGTCGAGAGTTTATAATTTTACTTAAATATACGTGTATCTTTTTCCATTTACTTGACAGTACCAACCATTCTGTAATAATCATAGAATTAGTTGTATTGTAATTCTTTACTTTTCTCAAATATCTTGTATAGGCATTTGTTGATCTTTGTCAAAATCGTATCAAAGCAATCTATTTTTCAATCTACGCGTTTGCTTTACTTGAAAATCGCTTCATCGGTGTGCTTTTTGCGAAAAAAAAGATTCGTTCAGGACGATCCTGCACAAGGTGCGATTAGTATTACGGAGAGCTATAATAAAGCTCGCAGCAGGATTCATTCTTCGTGATGCGGAGCTCGGTTGGAACGGTCTATTTGCACTTCGTCATTGTGCGGCTCTATGGAACCGTCGATACGACCGCCGGGTCGAAGAAGCGCACCCTATTGACGGATTCTTTCCGCAGAAAAAGAGAGAGAGAGAGAGAGAGAGAGAGAGAGAGAAGGAAAGAGAATCAAGAGAGAAGAGGTTGTCAGGAGCACAGAAGGTGCATCATGGAAAAAAGGCGATGAAGAAGTCGCCTGTGCTACCGCGCTCGTAAATTTTTCTCGACGAAATTAGACACGGCGAGCCCGTTGCTCGTTGCAGCTTCTCCTCGGTTGTCCCATGACATTGTCGTGTACTTTCTATCGCGGGGTGGACAACGTGCATTTCGTAAGCGAGTTCACGATTTGTAGCGCTCCGTCGCAACGAACGGACAAAGCGGGCGAGAGTGACGTTTTGACGTCTGCATTATGGTGCTCAGCATCGCGGCGCATCGGAGTATCGTGTGGACCGAGGTGGTACGGAGGTGGAGAACGAGCTCTCCGGAAGAGTGTTTTCACGGCGATGCTGAGTGCAAAGTCAAGGGGAAGAAAGGAGACGAAGAGGACAAGAGAAGGATACTTCAAGGATCGTAGACGTGTACTGCTAGTCAATCATGAAGGGCGGATAAGATAGTTAAGCGAAAACAAATTGGCGATGATACAGTGAATGGGAAAACATGTAATCAACATGTTAACGAACTTGCACATTTGCATTTAAAAATGACACATGCTTTATTTTGCGCCGCGATGCACCATAAATTTAATACGAACAGACGCTGTGTAAAGTATCTCGCTTGACCCCTCTTTTTCTTATTCGACTTATTCGATTATGTTTTAAATTTTGTATATCTGAGAATGCAAGAAAGATATGTTATGCTCTAATTTTTCATTTTTTTTAAATTAAAATTAAAAAAAATTTCTTAATTTGAGAAGAAATTATTTTCTTTGATATTATTAGTGCAATAAAATTGGTTTTTATAATATCGGTAGATCTAATATAAATCTGTTATTTTATTTTGTTAATTATTATGATTAGACTGAGACAAAAGTTAAAATACAAAGTTTTTTTTCTACATTATTAATTGTGAGTAATATATATATAGTGAGTAATATATGAAATAATAAATAAGAGAAATGAAACACAATTTCTAAAAATAGTAATCATATGAAATTACAAAAAGTACTTACTATATGTACTATAATTTTGATTGCCAGCTGAGTGATGTTTTTACAAATAATTAAAATGTTGGAAGAAATTCAAGAGATTCAATTATAAATCACAGATAAACTTACCGGCGATGTTCGAAAAGGATCAGTAAGAGAGCGACGGTGGGGCCAATCCTGGTGGCGATCCTGGATGGTGGGCCTTCGTATGCACGTTCTGTACGAGACGGAGGCATCCTGTCATCGCCTCGAGAACGTCTTCTCTTCTTTGCGTGGTTTGCACACTTTAAAAAAGTTGAGTGCGACCCTTTGTCCAGGGTTGCACACCCCTAGCACCCAAACGGAAGGATCCCTCGTTCGAGATGATGCTGAAGTAGAAGCTCTTTATCTCTCCTTTTCCTTTGCTTCTTCTCTCTCGCTCTCTCCTCACGTTCGCCTTTCTCTTTCTCTTCCTGTATTCTCTGGTCTCTCTCCTACTCTTCTCGCCGCGGTGCCTGTGATCAGCAGCCTGGCACGCGTCGAGGACTCCTCCTCGCCCCGGGCACCGGCGCTTCTCCTTTGACGTTCCGTACGATTCGAGAGCTCCCAGTTTCGCTGCTTCGAGGGTGCGTTACGAAAACTACCCCAGAATAATATTCCGCGGCGATTGGGCGACTCATCGAGCGTATATGTGTCTTGATACCGACTCTCGTGGCAGCTTATTGCGTCGGCTTGCTTGCTCACTGACGAGATTCGTTCTCGACATGTAATCACCTTTCTTTTCGTTTGCCTAATAATGACACTTCGCTATCCTTTGACGAGCCACTTATGCATATGTTTCCATTAAAAAGGTTTGTCGATGAGAAAACAATGAAATTTCTGAGATAACTTTTATTAAATCTCGTTATACTTATCTTTGGAGGAAAAATACTGTCGTTCTCCAAGAACGAAACGTGAAGAATCGTAGCCTAACGTTCTCCAAATTTCGTCGAGATATACGGCGAGATCACTATCACTACAGTCGTTGCACCGGTCGCTTTATTCCTGTCTTTGGTATTCTCTTCGGCACTGAATGAGTGTTTCGACATAGCTTGCCTTTGGGCAAATTCTTTATCTAATTTGCACCTCAAAACCGTAAATCACGATTCCCTTCTCAGCAAAATCTATTCGAAGATCCGATAACATTCTATCGTCTTTTCACCCTATAAAGATGTTCACCTTCCTCTTCTTTTTTTTTCGTTGATAGCAAGATCCAGACGGATCAATCGATCTCTTAGGCAGAGAGAGAGAGAGAGAGAGAGAGAGAGAAGAGCTTGATGTCTTACTCGGTACTTCCGGTGTATGTGCGCTCGCGGCGAAGTGTCAAGCTCAAATAAAAGAAAAGTCGCCCTCCGGATCCTCCTACTCCTCCCACACGCGGACCATCTCGTCTTCCCCCTTCCCCATTTCTCAGTTACAGGTCCTCTTCCTCTTTCTTCTCAACCACCGCCTCTTCTTCTTCCACTGCGGCTTCCTCTGCTTCTCTCTCTCTCTCGTAACCGCGCCTATCTCTCGCTTCGCTCGTGTAAACAGTCAAATAGCAAACTTCCCGCGATCGTCATGTACGGTACGAGACGGTGACGACAGAGTCAGGCGAGGCTTTGAGGATTGCAGAAAGGAAAACGTGGAGGGTCGGTTGGGGCAGAGAGGGAAGGGAAAGAAGAGAATTCGTTTCGAGAGGGACTCTAGGTGTCAATGCGTTCGATCGGATCACGTTGCCGGGTGAAGAGATTAACGTCGAGGTCGAGGAAAGGGCATGATCAAAGGCGGCTTGTCAAAAAGCTGCAGTTGAGACAGAGGAAATAAGTAAGAAGTTTCGCGAGCGTCTGGGAGCACAGTGAATTGAAACAAGTGTGGTGATCGAGACAAGCCATCCGATCGAGGAACGCGAGAAGAAGGTCACGCACTTTCGTTATCCCCGTACTCTCCTCTCCTTCGTACGCTGACACCGACACCACGCTACCGTAGAGCCGGAGAGATAGACAGAATCTGGATGATTCCGCCTCTGTTCAAGACCGACGAGGAGCTGTCAGGGAGATCGCTCTGTCTATGATGAACTCGGTGCGCAGTGCGCGGCTACGGGGGCCCTCCTCGCCCTCCCATAGGGAGAGAAAGGAGAGAGATAGGGAGCAGTATAGGCACGAAGGAACCAACTACCCCCCCACCATAACCACCACCATCCGGGCACGACCACCACCACCATCGGCCACCACCCCGATATTCGGTGTGAGAGACGAGGAGAGACGAACGGAACCACCTAGACAAGGACGACGTGACGACGAGGGTCTGCAATGGAAAGAGAGAAATAGAGGAGGTAGAACGCGTGCGAGAAGGAGGAAGATGGAAAAATGTGTGGACCATAGGCCGCTTTTGCATCTCTCTTTTCCTCTTTTTCTCCCACTTCGTATCCGTTTTTTCTCGCTTTCGACGCGGCTTCGTCTCATTCTTTCGACAGATAGTCCGAAAATACCTCCCCTTGAGCCAACAGGTACGCTGGCACTGGTGACTTAAATTTTTGTTTACCGGAATGTTTACCATATTGTGAAATATTCATTTTCTTTATTTAACTTTCTCTCTACATCAATATATATCTTACGTCATAATTATAGATATTCGATTCTGGATTCTGTCCTTGATGGTATATTTTATTTCTTATTTTATTATTTATCATTTCTATCATTATCCACGTTTTATAAAAAATATTTTTTATCAAGGAGGGGAGAATTTTTTATAATCTAAATTGTAAGAAGATCAATTATTAATAGTTTATAATAAGTAAAAAACTAGCAAATAGAAAAATTGTTTTTATCCTTCTAAATTTTTTAATGAGTTAAATATAATTATATCTCGGGCACGTATTATTATTTATTAATTATTATCTACCTATTAATTATTATCTAATTTTGAATTATTTAGTATAAAACAGATGTTCGAACTATTAAATTTCATTCAATTATTCAATGAAAGATAATATTTGGACGTTCTCCGTATATCTTTATGAATTGAAATTGAAATCAATTACTTGTGTATTCGAGCAGCTTAATGTACGTTTCGCTCCGCATGAACGGACGGATCGTTCTTCGCGCCTCAAGATATTTTATAATCGCATTTCCCTTCTCCCGAAAGATCTTACCCTCCAAATCGAAAGAAAGGAAAGCAGGCAGGAAGGAAGGAAGGTTGTCTGAGATCACGTGACAGGACAAGTAGGAGGAGCGAAATTCCCCTACCTAGCATCACTTGGAGGAGTCAATCGGCATAATTGAGGCTTATCTTCCTCCCTTACACAAACTGCCGTCCGCCTACTCTCATCCCCTCTCTCCTTTAGATTTTCTTTTCTTAGATTCTGTACTCTTGTACAGCAAGCCAGAAGTGCAAAGGCTATCATTGATATTTCATCGGTCATTTGCTAACGAGAGTAAAGAGATGAATATCACACTTTCGTATATTAATTATATTTAAAATTCAAATTATTACTTTTTCGCGTAACAATGAATGCAAATATCGATGTTAATCGATGTTAAATATCGATTAAATAACTAAAAATTAAATAAATAAATGACTTTCATTCTTTCTTTATTTTCTCAAATAATTTTCTCAACTGTGATAGCGCGTTTATTTCTTCAAGCAAGACGGCTTCTAGAAAAGTAGAAATATAAAAAAAACGAAATGGACGCAGATGGACTCCTGAATCGGAAATACCTATGGCGTTGATGACTATCTAATGTATGTCTCCTCGTCTCTCTCTAAAGCCAATTAGCAGTGCATCCGATATAATATCTGTCGGACGAAGCTCTCGGTGCCGCGATCACGAGAATCGAGGGAGCAAAGCTCCCTATCTACTTTCCCCCTTGCCCCCGGGTTGCCTTCGATTTCTCGACCCGATGTGGAAGTGCAGATTTCATTGACGTGGTCGCTGAGCTGGCAATTAGCCGCAACGACCCTGGCTCGTACACCGCGCTCGTAGTCACCCCACCGTGCCACGTGGTCGAAGATCAAACGACGTCCTGACACAAAGCGCAGCCAGCTGGATTCTCTCTCGATAATCGGTGGCGACGCCGATTACATGAACTCGTTTGGTCACCCTCGCTCGCGATCTTTGACCTACGCTTAATTAGGACCTACATGCCGGCGAAAACAGGTGCGCAGTTCGCCGGCAATCGGACACAACTGGCGAAATTAATGGGTCAACTAAAACAAAAAGGAAGATTAATTTTTAATGATAAAGAGTAAGAGAGAATTTAGATTAATTTCAAATTAGTTTGGATGACATTTATATAACGACAATGAGAATTAAAATAATAAGAATTTATTTCTACAACAAGTTACTCCACTTAATTAGCGCGTTCGACGAAAAATTCATTCAATTGGAGCATCGGTACTGACAGTTTGATTTGATTAACTTTGCGTTATCGGTATGTTATTTAATCTTAACATTTGCCCGCGGATATGTAGAAGGGGACGAAGAGAAAATTTGCTTAATTAGGCTTAGTCTTAACTCACCGCGGTGCGAGCAGTTCCTACGGGTTCGACCATAAACGCGAATCGGCGGAACCACCTTGTTATCGCATGCTCCGAAACTAACGAGGAGCGGCGGCCGTACCTTATTGGCGTTCACCGTTATCTCGCATGCCGCGGAATTATAGGCAGATCGAGCGGCGATTTATCGGGCATTTACCGCGGCGCATACGCTGCTGGACACGTGGCTTCTTTTGCCTCGCGGATGAGCCACGTTCCATTCGTTTCGTTAGAGGGACACGCTCATTGCCGACTTCAATACCTCGTCCCGATAACATCGTCCGTACTTCCAGAGGAACCACTGGAACCACGCTTCTCCGCTTGTTCTCATCTCTCTTCTTCTCTCTCATTTCCCCTCTCGCTCTTCTACAACGTGTATCCTCTGTCATCCTATCAAGGTGCATTACTTATCGAGCTATCGAGTGTGTCCTGACCGTGATCCTGGCACGCGAGCGCTGATACGATCGGGCCGCTCGATCATCCTATCACCGCGCAATGCGTCGTCGCTCGGCAACCTAATTGGCCAGCTTGGAAAAAAGTACGGAATCTTCCATAAAGAATGAAGTGTGTGTGTGTGTGTGTGTGTGTGTGTGTGTGTGTGTATGTGTGTGTGAGAGAGAGAGAGAGAGAGAAGAGGGGGGGGGGAAGAGAGATGATTTCGTGTGCATTACCGATATCTGTAATAGGATTCTCATAAGATTTTTTTGAATTTCTTTTCTATCAAGAGATTTCGACCAAACGGAGAATGGTTAATTAAATGTTCTCGTAAATATTCGCGCACTCACATTTGTACATTATTGCAATGCCGCATTAGTGAGGGGGTGATTTACGCGCCACGGTGAAGGAGCGAGATTACTTTAGGGCTCGCGATTGCCATATCATGGCCGTAATTTATTGC